CAGTAATGAAGTAAAACTACTCGAATTTTGAAATTTCCCATGATTTTACTAAAACGAAAAAAAATTATTAACAAATTAATTGTAGCTAATATGTAAATATTAAATAACTTCTCAAACGCTACAAAATAATATATAACACTTTTATATAAAGTATCTTTATTGACGTCACAAAATTGTACAAACTGAAATAACAAAAAACCGACGAACTGTTGGTTCACCATAATAATAATATTTTATCTCCAATACAAATGAAACGTGGAAAAAACCGAAGTAGTAAAAATTGAAATTTAAAAAATATGTTAATATTCAACGCTGAAAAAGAACTTTAGTTTCAGAAATATTATTGGAACAACTAGTTTTTTAATAAATGCTATACGACGTTACATTTGTTGTTGAATCATGCATTTGCATAATCCATCTATCTTTAGCAGTTATCGAGATATTCGAAATAGTTTTAGTATCCCCAACTTTGAGGACAGTTTTCATTCGTTTAATAAAGACGATTGCCTATAAAGAAATATGTGTTAAATACTTTTATGCGAACTGTATTGTACGCAAATTTGATACTTCGATATATTAGATTTAGTAATAATTAGTGTCGTTTTTTAGTGTATGGAAACGTATTGGAAAATTTAATTATTACTAGACCTGATATTTTTTGTTAGTTCAGTCAGTCAACGCACTAAAACTGAATTTAAAATCGATCCATGCAATGATTTATATCTGTAATACTTCGTGCATAACATTTTGTATATTGCTTGCATACCGAGAGTAAAAAAGAACAAAACTATACTGAAGACTGTTTAAAACAAAGCAAAGTGCAGAGTAATGTAAAACTTAACTCAATTTCTATGCCATTTATGACGAGAAATAAATGTTCACACTGTTTTCCGGTATTTAGTATGAAAATTAAAAGAAAAATGTGATAGTATTACTTAAGAGAGTGCGGAGACATTCGACTGTTGCGTTTGCTTTACATTTTTTATTTTGCTGATATAGTCGTAGTTTCACGAATTGTAAATTCGGGGTGAGTGGGTCTCGAGGCTTATTGAATTGTAAATACGGTAAGGAGCGTGTAGAATAGATTGTAAGTGTATCTAAGGTTTCTGATATAGATACTAAGGACTGAAAATTAATGTTTATTTTGCCATCCCATAAAATTGTGCTGTTTTTTTTACTACTAGTTGTGTCCTTACTATTAGTTGTGTACGAACTTATAGGATGATTGAATGCTTATGAAAAAGGTATTCATACTCGAACCATTTGATTCCAGTCTCAATCTCATTCTTCGATAAAAGAAACTAACTCTCTCATTTATCGAGCTCATTTGCTCATCGTTAAGCAAAACTACAATTAATCGTCATAACATTTATATATCCTGTAGAGAACGTGACAAATTTTGATAAGAATTCCATGTACTCATGATAACATGTATCAGAAATTTTATCCCGTAGGCATAGCATTAAAATAAAGACTTTAATTTTTGTTAAGATTATCCTATTCACCATTATTTTCAGCTAAGTCGCAAGGTAGTTATCATATTCATGCCAAAGTACGATATCGATATGCGTTTCGCATTAATAAATCGGAAGTAGATTTAGATTTTTCAATACGAGTGCAAACTAGTCTGCACAGTCTGTAAGCGTGCATTTACGTAGAAGGATAGTTTCACAAATAGGATAGTGCATCTAACATTCAGACTCAGAAAATATGAATAAGTGTACCAACGAGACAATATTTACTAATTCAACGTCAAAACTCTTCCTTTTGATTACTTTTGTATAAATCTTTTACTAACATATGTATTTGTGATATTGTTCTGATTAAAACGACACCAAATACGATATAATTTGGATCATACTTGCCTATTTAATAAGACGGAGATGAAAGAAGTAGGGACTTAATTTATATCATATTTAATGTCATTTCAATCAGAAAAATGTTACAAATATGTTAGTAAAAGTTTTATACAAGACAAATTAAAAGCAAAAGCTTTTTCATTGCATTAGTATTTCAACACCGATATATTCGACCCGGGATCATCTTATGCTACTCGACCGCCAAGCTTCATATCATTTCAAGGGGTAGTTCTGTGCATATAACTTACAATTACAAGAAGTTTGAACTTATATCGAGAAATGACTGGAGTTCTCCTAATCATCATATTTCGATGGCCATAGTTTGTTATTACTTAAATTCTAAGGAATGATATTATTTCAGATAACATGACTGCGGTTCAGCCAATTCAAAGCAACGGTGCAATAAAAGGGTTCACGACAAATGTAAAGGTATGTAATATTAAAAAACGAATTGATAAAATAGTTCTCTCTTAACTCGCAAAATATAAAAAGTATACTTATCTATATAATTATTGTAAGTATGTTGAATCACATTTACCATTTAGTGATTTATTTTGTAACATTATAGGAGACAACGACCAAAGGCTTCTATTATGCAACTCATAGCGAAACTGGCCTAGAAGGTGATTATTTATAATTTTATTGTATTATTTATTTAGTAAGCATGTGGCAGGGTCTTAACAAATCAGCCTTCCAAGTATATTATAACTAAATAAGACTATTGTGTGACCACGTGCTCAAAGCCGTTGTATCTCACGACCCGAGCAGATAGCAAACTGAAACTATGTCTTTGTCCTTCATGCTGTCCCATAGAGCACTGAGTGCGCAATCACACGACAAATTTTTATTTTAAAGTCCTAACTAAAATGCAGATGTTATAATTTTATTTATTTATGGGATTTGTAGGACCTGATCAAGTTTTGCCGGCCGAGAGTTTCACAACTACGAAACCAGATGGTTGTGTACGAATACGACTAAATTGCGAAGGTGTAAATTCCGTATCGCCCGTATCAGTTCCTGGTTTATTATCAAGTATAGCTACGAAATATCCTGATCAAATTGCTTTAGTATCAAGACCTGATGAAAACGGACAAAGAAAGAAATATACGTATAAGTGAGTATTTTCTATATAGATTCAGTACCGAAATCTATTTAATATTAAAGAGCCTTTTCACATTATCCGGATTTCTCTATTCGGATAAAAACATGTTCATACGAGATCACAAGATCACGTGTGTAATCTAGTTATATGAACAATCAATAAAAACAAATGAAAATGTCTTACATATTTTTAATAGGACGATAAAATCCAGATAATAAATGAGAAGACTCTAATAAGTTGCAATATCTAATAAAAGTAATTATATTTAATAGATTTCGTTAACGGATATTTTCAGAGAATATGAAACACAAGTGAGAACTGTAGCAAAGGCATTCATAAAATTAGGTTTAGAACGATACCATGGTGTCTGTATTTTGGGATTCAACAGCCCAGAATGGTTTTTTGCGGATGTCGGTGCTATATACGCTGGGTAAATATACATTTATGAATTATGAATGTTGCACATAAAAAATGTAATTTTTAAATAAAATTATTTATAACTTATTATTAACTCCTTTTAGAGGGTTTGCTGTTGGGATATACACGACCAATACTCCAGAAGCATGCCACTACTGTGCTGATAGCAGTAAGGCAAACATAATACTTGTTGAGGACACAAAACAATTAGACAAAATATTGGAAGTAAAACATAATTTACCCCACTTAAAAGCAATCGTCCAATACGAGGGTACACCAGAGCGAGAAGGCGTTTTGAGCGTAGGTTATTCAAAATATTACGCTAATTGTAAGATCTTCATGTTAGCGAACAAATACAAACAGTTTTCATGTTCTAGTGGGATGAATTGATAAAACTCGGTAAACAAGAATCTGATGACAAATTAAACGAAGTACTAAAGAGAATCGGGGCGAATGAATGTTGCACTTTAGTTTACACGGTATAAAGACAACATCTTTTTAGCAATCTACTAATTTTGAATTTAAATGTGTTATCAGTCATAGAACTATTAAATTTCTTTTATACAGTCGGGGACAGTTGGGAATCCAAAGGCTGTGATGTTAAGTCATGATAATCTTATACACGACGTTCGAGTTGTCGTTCATACTTTGCAATTGACCGACAAAAATAATGTTTTAATCAGCTATTTACCATTGTCTCATGTTGCCGCCCAGGTGAAATATCACAAATTCTTTTTTGTCAAATTTACTAAATTATCTTTATTATATTTGTTTTTATTATTTCAGATGATCGATATATACTGTTCTATGATGGTAGCTGCAACTCTATACTTTGGAGATAAGAATGCTCTTAAAGGTGGTCTACTCGATACTATGCTTGCCGCACGACCTACCATTTTTGTAGGTGTGCCGAGAGTATGGGAAAAGATTTACGAAAAAATGCAAACAGTTGCACGTAATAATGGTGTCGTTAAAACGTGGATTTCTTCTTGGGCAAAGTCACAAGCGCTTTATTATAATATGAACAAGATGAATGGAAACGATTCGAAAACGTGGGGTTATTCATTTGCTAAATGGCTAGTTTTTAGCAAAGTGAGAGCAGCGCTTGGTCTAGATAGATGTTTCCTGGCTATTACTGCGGCTGCACCTTTAAGTAATGAAATCAAGCAATATTTTATGAGTTTAGACATTCTACTTCACGAAGCATACGGAATGTCTGAATCTGCTGGCGCTCATACAATAAGTAAACCCGACTGTTATAGGTAATCATTTAATTTCTTCTCATATCGTTCATGCGGGGTGTCATAAAGAAGTTCTTTTATATAATGATATTAGGTTATTTTAGTATAGAGAGTTCAGAACAGAAAGCAACTTGTTTATGGAAATCAATTTCTTTTATGACATCCTACAGTTCAACTGCCTGCTTACCAAGTTAAGATTTTGTCACCTATTATATAATTAGGCTAGGTACTGTTGGCATGTCTTTACCTGGATTTGGTACGAAATTGGATAATCCAGATAGTAATGGGGAAGGAGAAGTGTGTATGCGTGGGAGACACATATTTATGGGGTACTTAAATGAACCTGAAAAAACAGCAGAAACTTTAGACTCAGATGGATGGTTGCATAGCGGTGATGTAGGCAAAATTGATTCTGACGGATTTTTATCTATTACAGGTAAACACGTTTTTTGAATGCGTACTTCATATTTTCTCATATTTATATAATGACGTATTAGATATAATTGTTTACATTAAATGTAGGAAGAATAAAAGAATTAATTATCACCGCTGGTGGAGAAAATATACCACCAGTTTATATCGAGCAATTAGTATTAGCTGAATTGCCTGCACTAAGCAATGCTTTACTGGTTGGAGATAAGCGAAAATTCCTTACCATGTTAGTTACCCTAAAGGTAAGATATGCATTGAACGTAGGAAAAATACATTAAACATATGTTTATATACATTTGAAATATAAATATTAATGATGTTTGTACATGCATTTCAGACTGAAATGAACCCTGACACAGGTGAACCAAAAGACAACTTTACTCCTGAAACTTTAGAATGGTTAGCCTCTATTGGAAGTAATTCAAAAACTGTAACAGATGTTCTAAATACACATGATAAAGTTGTAAGTTAGCACCTATTAATGAATTTGTATATCAAAAAGCTGATAATGAAAATACCTTTGTGATATTAAATGTGACTATATGCTTTCCTTAGGTATACGAAGAAATCGACAAGGCGATTAAACGAGCAAATACTAAAGTTATAAGTAATGCACAAAAAGTACAAAAGTTCAAAATTCTGCCACATGATTTTTCAGTGCCTACTGGTGAATTGGGACCGACGCTTAAACTGAAAAGAAATGTTGTGTACAAAATGTATGAAGATATGATAGAAGATATGTACACGTAGAAACACACTTCTACGTTCATCTGTTCGTATCGTGTGTAAAAGAAAAAAGAAAAGGGCACCAAAAGATGGGCTATATTCCTAAAACAAATATGGGAGTTACTGCCAATATCTGCATTAAACACTTAAATATTTAAAGTAACTGCAAAGTTAAAATCGAAATAAGATATAGCTCTGTTTAAACTGTCTACTTGAAAAGCAAAACTCGAATTATCAAATATCTCGAGTAACAAAAATTTAATTTTACTATAATAGCACTGATTTCATAAGAATATATATATATATATACATATATGTAAATCTTCCTTTTTATATGTGGTATATCATAAATATAATTAGAAGTATCTATTGTGTACGATAAAGATTATAACACTTTTTATAAATTTCGTGTATCTCCTAGTACAAAATTTTGTGACTTGTTATAGTCTGTTCTAGAAAAGTTATTCGCTTTTCCATATGCATTTTTCTAATAAGTGCAAGATAAAGAAAGGAGGTTTAAAACTCGCCTAAAATTATTAAGTGCCTTTTGATATGTGATCGTATGGTGATATATCCACAAGATAGTGATCTTTATAGTATATTCACATACTGCGTAGTATATTAAATATTCATAAATATGTATAATAGTACTGAATTTATCTGAGGTGCATTTAATGTCATTACGGTTTCAATATGTAATGTTAAGAGAATTATTATACATGATACTTACTAATTTGAGTATGGTACTTAAATTATGTACTGAAGAAGGTAATTAATGTATATCAAGCATTGTTAAAGATTAAAAATTATGAGTGTTATTGTTTAATTTATTATATTTAGCTAAAACATCAAGTAAAAAGAATACATTTTCTTTCGTACTTATTACTGTATTATAATGTATCATAAAACATAATAAAAGTTGTGTTTCATTCATAATTGATTGAATTGTTTTATTTATAAGTGCACTTTTTAGTTACTCGTTGAAAAATTAAAATTACAAATTATAGAATTTTATGTAGAATAGTTTATTATGAAATGATGTAACTTTTTTCTCTAAGTGCCTTCAAATACTAGATGGTTCAGAAAATGGCACGCACTCTATTAAAAAAATATACATATTGATGAAAACGTAAACTTTTTACATCAAAGCATCGACAAAGATACATAAGCATTTATAAAATGTTAGAAACCCTAAACTTTTAAAATAATGTAATCTATAAAATATGAAGGTATTGAATTGTCTCAAATTCGGATTGTGTACAATCGCACCACGTCGTTGGTGTTACATTTTGTGTGTGTAAAAAAATATTTATGAAGTACTTGTTGTGTTAAATTTTTGTTGTATGATAGATGTTTTTCGCTGTGGTACTGTTTCAGGTGTAGGTATAGCATCACCTGTTGGCAAAACACCAGCTGGCTTTGGTTTAGCTGTATATTTTTGCTTTGCCATTTGATAATCTCCAGAATCAAAATATTTTTGCTGAAAACGTTTTTATATTAAGTTCAAGAAATATTTGATAGCGTACATATTTATGATAATATTGCAAGTATTTTCGTGCACTCTCTATTAGACCTAGCTTAGAGAATTAAAAAATAAATGTTTACATCTCTTTACCCCTTTAGCTAATCTCTTTTGCAGAAATGCCGAGTGCCCACTTATTGGACGTCCTGGATTTGGAAATTTTGCCCTCAACTTTGCTTCTTCCATTTTTTCAATATCGTTTGAAGATAACTGAAACGGACATTATTATTTTTATGAAGAAAGAAGAAAAGATATTGCATGAACACATTAAAAGCAACCCATTTATATCGTTCTTGTCTTTCAAATACACAGGTTTACGTGGTAAAACATTTGACAATTGTAGAAAAATTACGTTTGATACATTTCCATGAAGCTTGACATTAAAATGTTGGGGAAACAAGAAAATATTGATACAAAAATTGAAAATAAAAAGAAATATGACAGAAAAGAATACTTAAATCTAATTTAAATAAAACAAACGTTACCTCAACTGTCTCAGACAGTTCATTTCCTTGATCGTCGCTCATTGTTGCTGTTTGTTAACCACTCTACTTCGGTGATGGCCTTTACTTTAAAATTGCACAAATATCGTTTATGTACTCGTTTCAACACTACTGTAGGAAAAGTACAGCGGCAGCTGCACCGATGCCTTTCAGAAACTTATTCACGTGTCACATGAATTCGTTTATCTGCGGCGTATAGATTTTATAACTTAAGTATATCGTTACCGAAACCAACCGACTGTCAATTAAAGCGTACTTGAAACTTAAAAGCAGCAAAGAATACTAACAACGTTTCATACACATCCGCAGTGGTGTCACACGTATTGAATGTCTGTATGCATTGCATGTGTATATACATATATATATATATATAGCAAAGCATCCGTTACCGGAATTCGATCTAGGTGCGAATTTTCATTAAGCTAGAGGTGAGAAACAAGAAATAATATTTAAATAACGCCATTGTCACTATATGTTATTGTCAACAATGTCAACTTACGTAAGAGAACTACCATTATAGATATTAAGAGTATGATGTGCATTTGTTTCCTAGTTGATAAAACTAATTATTTACAAGCATAAGCGCGTGGAAACATATCTTAAAGTTGGTGGGTCGTATTCGTATGTTCGTATGTATCTGCATTTCAGTATTTCAAATCCTTTTACGACGTTCTATGGGAATATATCCAGGAATTTGCTCATCTTCTAGTTTATTATTTCGAAAAACTTTCTTTTATAGTAAGATATTAGTGTAAAAGACAGTTTTAATATATTTGTCAGAATTGTGATTTAATAAAATTAATATGGATAATAGCGAGGTAAATTCTGATGTTCATAATATATATATTCTGTTAAAAAGTATGCTCACTGAATGTGAGAAAGAGAAATGCCATAAATATGTTTTGAATAACAGGTAGATTTGTCTTCACAAAGTGACTCTGTATTAAGTACTGCTTCAAATACAAAATATTGTGATGAGATATCACCGAAAGAGCAGTTTTTACTGCAAATTTTGCGCAGAGGAATGTTGGAAACATATGAAGAGAACACAGCGTTCGGAAAGGAACTAATGTTGTTACTGAGTAAATTAAATTTGGAACCACAAACTTTGCCAAATGATATCAAAGAAGGATTGCAAAAAATAGCTTTAATATTAAAACATGAGAAATTATCTGATATTGATGATGTTACATTAAGTATAATAAGTGAAAGAAAGAAAATAGAAGAGAAGAAAAGGATACATGAAGAGAAACATTTGGCCCTATTGTACGATGATCTTTTTAGAAAATATTCTGGTTTCTCGAAGAAGCTTGATCAGTTACAGGAAGCTGCTAGCTCTCTTGAATGTTTCATTCAGAATTCTCAAGAAGAGCAAAATGATATTTATTATAATCGTGCTACTATGAGTGCAAGATTAAAAGAATATCAACAAACTACAGAAAAATTAGAAAGGGATATTACAAATATGCAAATTGATGATCTTTACCCTAAAGAGATATTAAACAAATATCACAGTTATTTGGAAATGTCAGGTGAATTAGCTGAACTTAATCAATGGCTTAGTCAATATGGGAATTTGCCACCAAATTTGCTGCAAGCTAAAGCTTTAGTCGAAATTAAACGAAAGGAGTATGAAGCTTTGGAAAAGGATTTTTTGAAGAAAACCAATCTTGAACAATAATTATTCTAAGTTTCTTAAC